TGAATAGTATACAAATATCTGATTACTATTAGGGTCAGAATATTCCTCAATTTCTACTGAATCTGACACAAAAAGAGTGAAAAATGGAATGGAAGAGAGATTGCAGATCACCTTCTCCAGCATGCCTCTGAATGCTCAGATTGAACTTCAAGAATTAGGAAGAAACACACAATCCATCAGATGACCAGAAATCACTGCAGGGACACAAGGAATATGAGAAAGCAAGAAAATACCTCTTCTCCAAGGAAAAAGAACAACTCCTTTTCACCCACAGACAGTACAGTGGAACTCATGGAAATGTCAGATAAAGAATTCAGAATATTCATAATGACAAAGCTAACAGAGATGGAAGAGAAGAAAGACAACTCCAGAAGATGCGGAAGAAAAAATTTGATGATTTCCAGGAGGTGAGGAAGTTCTTGCACAATCTGAAAGAGGAAATACACACCATAAAAAAAGAATCAAATAGAACTGTTAGAGATGAAGGCTGTAATACAAGAAATCAAAGCCTCCCTTGAAAGTGTTAAAAGTAGACAAGATCAAACAGAGGGTCAAATCTCAGATGTAAACGACAGAATGACTGGCCTAGAAAAATCCACCATGAAGACTGAGAAAATGGCCCTCCAAAAATAAGAATAATATACGAGAAATACTAGTTATCATTAAACGTCCAAAATCCGGATATTGGGACCAGCAGTTAGCATAATGTCTATGTCGCTGGACTCGCATGTAGTCGACTGCGGTTCGAGTCCCAGACCCGGCGGCTTAAACTCACACCGGGCGTGTGTGTGTGCATGCCCAAGATCCCAAGAGGAGAATGGAGGAGAAGGGATTGCGGCGTGGCCATCCCCCTGAGGGGTGATTTCTTGCTTTCTATCTCTCTGTCTCTCTCTGTCTGGTGAGCACACATGCCCTTTAGCAAAAACCTCTCAAAAAATTTTTTTAAAAATCAAAACCTGGATATCCCAGAAAGTGAAGAGACTATAAGGGCATTGATAATTTATTCCATGAAATCCTGGAAGAAAATTTTCTAGACTTAGAGAGGCATTCAAAGATCCAGTCCCAAGAAATACAAAGGACTCCAAATAGAATCGACCCAAGAAGATCTTCTCCATGACACATTCATGGCCAGATTGACCAAAACCACAGAAAGAGACAAGATACTAAAATTGGCAAGAGAAAAACATCAAGTTACCTACAAAGAATATCCCATCAGACTAAGAGTGGACCTCTTATCAGAAATAATGTGAGCAAGGAAAGAATGGGAAAATAATTCAAAGTGTTAAAGGTAAAACAATTCCCACCAAGAATACTATACCTGGGGGACCAGCAGTTAGTGTAGTTTCTATGTTCAAGTCCTGGACCCGGTGGCTTAAACTCATACCGGATGTGTGTGTGTGTGTTGGTGTGCCTAAGATCCTAAGAGGAGAATGGAGGAGAAGGGATTGTGGTGTGGCCATCACCCCTGGGGGGGGGGGGAAGATTTCTCGCTTTCTATCTCTCTGTCTCTCTCTGTCTTTCTGGCAAGCACACATGTTCTATAGCAAAAACCTCTCAAAAAAAAAAAAAAAAGAATACTATACCCGATAAGATCATCCTTCCTATGGGAAGAAGAGACAAGCACATTCTCAGATAAGTGAAACCTGAAGGAATTTACCAATACCCAACCAGCTCTCCAAGAAGTTTTGAAGGGAGTGCTATACCAGGAAAACTAAATATAGATACAGAGAAATAAGAGTTTAAACACAACTAATAAAATGGCCACCTTAATGGTAGGGACAAGTCTCGAAAATGGCCATCTTAATGGTAGGGACAAGTCTCAAGCTGAATATTATGTTCCAGAATTTAAATGGGATGATCAGACCACAACAGAAGATAGATTAAGTACATTATGACTTGTGACTACAACATTACTGATTTTCTTCTATGCTTTGTTTTCCAGATTTAGGAATCATTGTCTTTTCTTGAGCTACCGATAGGTTCATGTACCTATTTGAACAGAATCCTAACCTGTTTCCTGGCTTAAAGTTTTAAGCAAAACTGTCTTAGCATTTTTATTTTTCTTTACTTTTTATTATTTTTTTTTGGAGAGGTTTTTGCTATAGAGCGTGTGCGCTTGCCAGAAAGACAGAAAGAGACAGAGACAGAAAGTGAGAAATCACCCCCTGGGGGGATAGCTATGAAGCAATCTCTTCTCCGTTCTCCTCTTGGGATCTTGGGCATGCATGCACATGCGCCCGGCGTGAGTTTAAGCCACCGGGTCCAGAACTTGAACTGCGTTCGACTACATGGGAGTCCAGCAACAACGCCATTACGTCAACTGTTGATCTCTGTCTTAGCATTTAAATTTTCTTATGTATTAAAGCTAAAATTACTTTTCTTGAAATTTAAAAATATATTAAAAATACCTGTTTAATGACCTCAGTAAGCTATATAGCATCAACCTGGTACTACTTCATGGTGAATCCATTCTACTCAGAGCTTCATGCCTAAAGTCAGACATGTGTTCACAGATATGTATGTATCAGCTGAACTTGCTATTGAAGGTAGTTAGATTAGTTAAGATACTTTGTGAATCAGTAAAATGTTGGGGGGGGGATAGATTGGAAAACAACTGTGGACACCAGAGACAGTGTGGGAGGAGTGTGGGAAATGGCAAAGGTGAGAAATAGGGGCAAGAAGAAAAAAAAATTGTGTGTGTGTGTGTGCACGCCACTATGCAGCATATTCTGGATGGGAAATCACATTTTATATGCTGTGATGATTGTGATGATGCTCAGTGAATGAATATAAAATAAATTAGAGAGAGAGAGAAAGAAAATAGGTATCAATGGTTTGAAAGATTAGAGCCAATATTAACTGACAAAGAGCAACTTCCATCTAAATCATAAAAATGTTTAGGTTAAAAAAAGGGGGGAGCGCAGCTGCGCTCCGGGTGGCGGGCGGTGGGGGGGGC